CAATCCTAGTTTAGTCAACGTGACTAAACAAGCTAGGGGTGCAGGAACAGCCCCAAAACACCTTACCTTTCCAACACCTCCAAAACTGTCCTTAGACCCATCCCTAAGGCCTCTGAAAGGGAGGGCCACATACCAATTCAGCTTAACAAACATCTGGAAGTGCCTACAATGTATGCTACCCACTAAGGATTCATATTAAAGGCGTGGTCTTTCCTATAGTCATACAATCATTTGGTGTAGTGACTCCTGGAAATACAAACAAGAATAAGAGGCAACACTAGCTTTATTAAAGATCATAACGTTATCATTTATTAAAGGGGGGAAAAGCACAACAAAAAAAGAATTGTTTTGTGATTCTTTTTGGGGGTGGGGGTGAAATAGCATATACCAGCAAAATCCTTTCTCTCTGAAATGAGCGAGTAAAAAAAGCACAATCTTTATTGTATGAAATAGCTCAAGGTAGGAAAAGGAGCGCACAAACATTTCTGGATATTAAAAAATTCAGTGATGCAATCAGCAACATTCAAAACTGCTGACTATACAATTACAAAAACGGAATCACATTTTAACAAAGTGTTTTTAAAAGCTCATCATATTGAACAGGCACAATGTTCTGAAGGCACAGAAATTTCCATGGGTTTCTGAACATCCTCACCCCCACCTTCACAATTTACAAACGCAGCAAAAAATATGAGTTTAGAGGGGTTTTTGTGTGTGTGTGTGTTTCCTTTCCTTGTTCAAAGTGGCTAAGTCAAGCAAATATATGGAAGGCAAAGTAAACATGTGTCATAGAAGAAAGGCAAGATGAACTGTAAGCTATGATTCTCCTGTAGGACATTTCACAAACGTGAGGTTCGTCCAGACTTTCGGTAGATGAGCCTCACTGCCTCCTGCCAGCACGGATGTCCGGCCGCGGCCACACCTGCCCAGGCTCATCCGCATGGTCCCAGGACCAGGGCAGGACGCTCAGTGTGGGCAGCCCGTTCACATCAGGGAGCTTTTATCTGTGACATTTTCTTGGTTTTGATTATTAGATGTAGTGACACTACTTTGCTATGAATGCGCACACTAGTATTGTTTATTACACCGACTTTCAACTAGTGAGCCAAAAACTTCAAAACGTGCAATACCTGACTGTTTAGTCCAGACACTGCCCTCTTCTCCCTTAGATCACCAAATAAAAATGACAACAGCCAAAACAATAGTCATCCAGTGGGAACAAACCAAAATTACACCTATTCTTTTTTGTCAAATTGTCAAAAAACATGTTTTTTGGCGTGCCGCAGAATTTTAGCAGTTACTTTGTGCCACGCGATGAAAAGGCTGAAATTGCTGATCACAGTGCTATGGACCGACCTTTGGCTTCAAAGAGCCGATCCCTCCTGTCCCATGGACTCACTCTTCCGTGCTCGTAGCTCGTCGGAGCTACAGGATGTATTGTGCATTTCTGAGCCATGATCAGCTGGCCAGCTCCTGCTAGGGGGCAGGTAATCTTGTTCTGTCCATGTACTCGGGCTCTGCTGCCCCCACTGGCCTCGTTTGTGCCACGCGATGAAAGGCTGAAATTGCTGATCACAACGCTATGGACCGACCTTTGGCTTCGAAGAGCCGATCCCTCCTGTCCCATGGACTCACTTTTCCCTGCTCGTAGCTCGTCGGAGCTACAGGATGTATTGTGCATTTCTGAGCCATGATCAGCTGGCCAGCTCCTGCTAGGGGGCAGGTAATCTTGTTCTGTCCATGTACTCGGGCTCTACTGCCCCCACTGGCCTCCTGGGCCTCTCCGGCCCTGGAGCGAGGAGCCTGCGGGCCCTCCGGGAGCGGTGCCGGTGCACGCCTGAGGTCACCCGTGCATCGGGGTAGAACTGGAAAGCGGCCGAAAGGGGAACTAGACACCCTGTATCTTGAGTGAACTGGGATTAAATACCTTGCACAGCACCTTCCCTCTTTACTCAAATAAAACCCTCAAGATCTCAGAGTTTCATCGTTAGAAGGTACTTTAAACACATAATTTAACCTCCCAATGTTTTAAGTAAGGACTTCCAAAAAGATCTGGACTTCTAAATCTAAATTCTTCTGTTAACGTCTTATCAAGAGACACACGGATATAAATCTGCATTTAACTTCAGTGGAAGGTCTGTTAGCTTTTTAAAAAATAACATCTGCGAAGAAACTACTGCACATCGTACATCAAGAAATACTTGGGTTTTAAAGTCAAAACTGTATCAGCAATCTAGCCACGTGGCTCCGTGAGCCTGCACACTGACTCGCTGTGCAGTGATCTGAGGGGGCAGGGCTGGCCAGGCTGCCCCACTGCGGGGTCCCCGGCCACAGCACCGCAG